CAATACTTGTACGTCGCCCGTCCATTCTCATGATTTCCCCCGAACATACGATCATCGCCTAAGTGGTCCATATCAAGAAAGTCTAACCCGACACGACGCTCAACGCGGAGCTCGACCTTCTTCGTCGAGATCTCCCCCGCGAGCTCGTGTCCTAGACACCACGTCTGTAGGTCATATCCACCACAGATTCCAATCGTCAGAGAATATAGTGCGACCGGGCGTCGATAGTGACGATCCCCGTGAACTCCGTGCGTTTTTGCCGCGGAACCCGGTCAAGGGAACGGACATCCCAGATCACAGGTTGCGACATGGTTTCCAACGTGGAGCTCGATTAGAACTCCCTATGTCTCCACTGAGGACCCATGCCGACCAAACACAACATTCCGACCATAATCCGCGACATGGTGCTCGACGTGGGGCTCGAAGTCCAGCTTCGACGTCCTCGCGGCGAGCCCATGTTGCCAATTCTCCGCACAATTCTCAAATACTAGGCACAAACGATCATATATCACGACATGGCGCCCAACGTGGAGCTCGATTAAAACGTCCGAGGGCCCATGCCGTGGTTACCAATACAAATGGTCTTATTCCTCGATAGTTTGTGTTGACTTTATAAACTCAACCAGAAAAAGTGTCATTTTAATGATTTGGAATATTTTTTGAGGTTAAGGACGAATAATGACAAGTTTCAAACGGATGTAGGAATTTCGATTCAGTGACTCTAAAGATAGCGTTGGTTACACTTAATTCCTAAACGTAGAAAAGTGTAATCTTATCAAATTGAGCTATTTTTTGAGGTTAGAACATGAACTACAATATAGTATTTGTATGTTTCTTAGCTATCAATATATTGCTCATTAAACAGAATTTTCCATTATTTCGGATTTCGCATTGGATGCCATGATGTTTTTTGAATCGATAGAGTTTTTAAATACGAAGCTTTTGACACGTCGAACATCAAAAAGAAGCTGCATGTAGGTATAGATACTGTTAGCTTAATATGGTTTATTAATTTTTATCAGTTTTTTTTTTAAAGTCATTCGTTCTAAAATATGAATATAGTGCTCCTCAAAATGAATCACCCTATATTTTTGTAAAGAATTTCAAAAGGAATGCACCCTAGCTATTGTATTTACTCTTTGTCCTAGCTAACACATATTCCAATATTCTATAGTTCGTTGGTCGTGGGACCGGATGCTTAAGCACACTTTACAACAACGACATCATCTGACATCTGACGCTCTATAATAAAAATATAACTCTGCAAGACAGATATTTGCAGATTTATGTCAAGGTATTACATTTTTATATATTTATGCGAATGTTTAAATATCTTCTACAAGATTTACTTTTTCTCTATTTTGATTTACTGATTTTATTTAGATTTTGATTGGTTGGCGATCTAACTGCAACGGACGAACGCACAACTATTAATCGTAGTCTTCTACCTTAACCTGCTTAACCATGAACCTAGCAGAAACATTACGCTTTGCTGTGTTGGCTTACCTGTTGGAGAAATAGATGACCAATTGGAATTTGACAATTTGACAATTCAATTCTAATAGAATCAAAATGGTGGATATTAAAGTTGTTGTTTAGAAAACCTATTTTGGTCTGTGTATTTTACTTTTACTGAAATAACAATTCTTAAAAATGAGTAATCATCACAATAATGGGTCCAGGGCAGGAGAGACTGAACAAATGGCACAGCCGCAATGTTTAAAAGTGTTTATACAAAGAGATTATAGTGAAGGAACATTAGTAAAGTTTCAAACTAGGTTTCCACAAGAATTAGAAGGACGAGTAAATATTATAGAAATTTTGTAATATGCAAAATTTGTTTAATTTATTTTTTGCAGATAGAGAGACAAGCCTTTGAGACTACAATTAATAGACTGAATGCATATTTTGCAGAAGCTGAAAAAGCAACATGCTCGACTTATTGTGAAGGGTGTTTAGCCTGTTTAACTGCATATTTAATTTATATTTGCAAAGAGACACATTACGAAAGAGTAAGTATGCATATTTCATTATAACAAACTGTTAACAAATTGTCTACCGATTTATAATAATTTAATTAATTTGCAACTTTATCAAAAACTTTAGAACATGCCTCGAAGTAGACATAAAAGATCTTTTTATTTTAATATTTGTATAAAGATAATAAAAATAACATTATTTTAATCTTGAGAAACTGAAAACTGCTCACATTAATTAATTTATTTAGTCCCAGAAACAAATTCTGTTTTTTTTTAATTGTCAAAATATTTGTAACTAATAACCAATATCCTAACATTGTTATGGATAGATGTATAAAATGAGATAATGGTTATTATACTCATCTTTCTAGTTAATCGTATATCACTGTTTAAACAAAGTGTGGATTTCAAGGTGATCACATCATCATTAAATTTAGTTTTTAGGTTATAAACTGGAGGTAGACAGAAATTTCTTTATTTTTTATTCTGTTATTATTTTAATGAATAAATTAACTATAAAAAATAGATGTATACACACTTACACTTTACGTTTTTCTTCCTTTAATATTCAAATATTTAAAATAATGACGAATATAATTTATTATTTAAAAACATTCTGTATTTTCTCTGCCTCTTTGCAAAAATCACTGTAGTTTCATTTTATTCTTGCAACCAATATGAATCAAATGTTATAATTGGTATTTTGGGGAATGAATTAAAAAAATATTTATTCCAACTTACGGGAGATTGTTTCTGTATATGTGAAGTAGGTATTCAATGAAACTTGTAATTAGTACCTATTTTTTTTTATTTAATTGGGCATTTCTGTCACAGTAGAAACAAAAATAAATTGAAATTTTAAGTAATTAAACCCTTTTTGAGAAAGGGATAAGCCGAGAAGTTAATTTTATAAATTTAGTTTTGCGTAATTACAGCTGTCTCACCTCAATTGGAGAAAATGGATAATTGTTTATGATTACACTGCAAACATTAACATATGACAGGTTAGCATTTGTATATAGGTCGTTGTACTTAAAGATGCGCAGCTGTCTCGGTTTTCATCAACATTTCTGTACATTATTATCCCCCTGTCCATTAATTCAATGCTACTATTGTTTTTCATTCACATTTCGCTCAAAAGATTGTCGATTACTCAAAATTGAACAAGCAATTTTCTCTTTACTACAAACAGGGCAAAAAACTAGATAACGTGCCATTTACAGCCGCAACTATTCACCTCTTTTTATGTGATATGTAAATCTGGATAATCCCATTCCATTGTTCTTATTTAAGTAATCAGGTAGATATTTATCCCATACTGAAAAGAAAAATATAGGTAATTATAAATAATCCTTTGCTCCAAAAGGATATGTCAAAGGGTTAAGTTTTAGTTTGCTTAACCCATTAACGCCGTGCGTGGTTCTATGGACACAGCAAACAGCTGATGTTCTACACCAATCAAATGGTGCTAATCTAATAGCCAGAGGGCGGAGTCCTGGACATATTGTAACTATAACAGTGCAAAGCAATTACCGACCAGTAGATTTAGTCAGTGGTTTATGTTAACGTTGTTGTAAGTGTTAGAAGTCCACCGATACTTTGACCTGCCGAAATAATGGACATGCGTTTCGAGTAAGTAACCTTAGATTAATTTTATATAAGATTTATCCAATTTTTTTATTATACGAACTTTGTGCACATACCAAACAACAGATCAGTATATATTTTTAAAACTTTAATTTGAAACTGTGTAAGCTAAAAGTGCTTCATTCTTAGTGTGGCCAAATCACCACGCTAGGCGTTTCCACTCCGCAAAATTGATATTTAGAAATAATCTATCTTAGAAAAGGATTCTCCCTTGCAGAAGCATTGGATATGATTTATAGTGACGATATCGAAGGAGACTTATTTATAGAGCCACCAGCTGCAAATGTAGATACAGACGAGGATTCAGGGAACGAAGATAATGGCGGGTATGTTATATTTTTGCCACAAATTGGATTCATATTGTAAGGCTTTAGAATACGTAAGTAAATAACATATTTTTGCGTTTTTACAGGCTAGTTGATAATCTTACGTCTCGTCAGTTACTTGCCAATGCAGAAATAAGGCTACCTAATAATGAAAGACTGGGTATCATTGATTATAAAGAAAATATTGTTCAACCCAAGCAGATGACACCCACATGTCACCCACAAATATCAGAAGAAACTAAACAGTGGATGGATGAGAGAGGTGCTGCAAAATCCAGCACAAAACCGCTATGGGAAAAGGGGTCAGATTTTGATGTTGAAAGGCCCACTTCATTGCCCATTTCCGATTATTCTAAATACAAAAATATGTCTATTATTAATATTTTTGAACAGTTTGTTGATGAGGCATTTATCGAACATTTGGCAGAAGAAAGCCGACGGTATGCCCTATTTCTGAACTGCCCAGTCCCTAAGATAAGTGCGGACGAAATCCGCTGTTTTATTGCTATTTATTTGTTAGCGGATATAACAACTTACCATCTAAAAGGCACTATTGGGATTTTAACGATGATATGAAAAATATCGCCGTATCTCAGGCTATGGGAAGAGATAGGTTTCTACAAATCAATCGTTTTCTGCATTGTGCTGACAATACTAAAATTGATGTACTTAAATGACAAGGCTTGGAAAGTACGTCCGTGTATGGAAATGTTAAAAAAACATTGTATAGAAAATTTTGTACCCGAGGAACATCTGGCTTATGACGAGAGCATGGTTAAGTACTATGGAAGGCATGAGTGTAAACAATTTATTTGGGGTAAACCCATTAAATTTGGCTACAAGATGTGGTGCTTCAATTCCAAAGATGACTACTTAATTTACTTTGAGCTTTACCAGGGTAAAGGTCCTAATTCAAATCCCGACTATGAAAAAATGTTAGGTAAGGCCGCCAGCCTTCTACTAGTCTTACTAGATGAAATGCCAAATGAAAAAAAAATATCTAAAATATACGTTTTATATGGATAATCTATTCACTGGACCAGCATTATTTTCGTTTTTGACATTTTTTCGTTATTCAGCTATAGGCACCATTAGAGAAAATAGAATTCCCAAACAATGTCCATTCACTTCAAAAAATTTGTTTAAAAAAGAAAATCGAGGATATTTTGAAACGGCCATGGAAAAAAATGATGGCCAACTGTATGTGCGATGGATGGACAATGCGGTGGTGACAATGGTTTCTTCTACATGTGGCACCCAAGAAGTTAGTCAAGTGAAAAGATTTTCACGGCAACAAAAACGGAATATAATGATTCCCAGACCTAAGCTAATTGCCAAATACAACACCTATATTTAAAAAAATATCAAGTTCAGGCTAAAGGAGTTGGCAGACCATCAACTTCAGATAGTCGCATATCAGATGCAATCAGATTTGATCGAACTGATCATTTAGTCAAATCGATGGAAAAAAAAGGGAAGGTGTGCCCGCAAAACATGTAATTCAACTCCTAGAACAATTTGCACAAAATGCAATGTGGGGTTATGTGTAAATTGCTTTATTCCTTTCCACTCTCGCTAGATTTTTTTATAATTGTATATTTTATAAGATCATTACATTGTGTTTCCATAATACAGACACTTATTTATACTATCAGTTAATGTGCATATATTTATATTGTTACTCTTTTTGTTTAGGTTAGTTATTATTTTTTTATTTCGTAAATTGTTTTATTGCTATTAAAAAAATAAATAATTTTTTTAGAATTTTGTGTAAACACACTTTGGTCACTCTATACTCCGTGGTCGAAATTATAATGGCCGTAATGCGTATAAAATATAAAATGATTTTTATACGGTTCAATATTATTTATCTTTGTGCCGCTCGCTACGCACATCGATAGAATCTATAATCATCTATAGACCGAGTTACACTGAACGTCGATCTATATTCTATCTCTGTCTTTTGCATTTGGTAGGGAATAGGGAAATGCTTTTTTAGTGGGTGTAAACGGACTTGATTTACCCATCCTGAGAAACGTCATTGCATAAGACGAGGGATCTAATTCCACGGCTATAATAAATTTATAAACTAAAAACACACAACTGGGACGTTTTAAAATGATGTAATAATTAAAATGGATCAAAGTGCCAGTTATAGCAAACCGTAAAAAGTATTAAATGTTATGTTTTATTATCTTTTTTCAATATTTTCTATATCTTGTTGCCTTTTACGCAGACACGCCAATGGATTTTCGTTCCCGGCATGCTTCATCCCCCTTATTAGTCCAAAAGCTAGCGATTAGTCACTCTATAATTTCGGACGCGGAGTATAGGTTAAATATTTACTGGTGTGACATATTTAGTTTTAAAAATTACATTTATTTAATAATAGGTAGCGCAAGCGCCCAGCGTGGTTAAATGGTCGCAGCAAAAATCTCATTATCTGGAAGTTTTATAAAAAAAACTTCCCATAATTAATGGTCGCTTATAACCTTTAAATCCCGATTATCGCAAAATAAATAAAAAATTCAAAAACAATTTAATTCCTGCGCTAATGGGTTAACTAGAAATGTACCAAACTGAAAAAGTAGTTAATCACAGTAATCACAATAGTCACCATAACACATTAGACAGTTTACATTATTTGTGGAACATTTTGCACATGTGGATGTGTCTGATTGAGTCTCTCTGCTTTTTTGGTGATTTCTTGGAGTAAAAAGTGAATTTAAAAACTCTTTCTTGTTCTGAAATTTGAAACTATAAGTATTCTGTTGAGTTGCAGTACTGTATGTGGAAAATATTGTGTGATTTGGACTAAAATTTGAATTAAGTGTTGCATTCATTGACTGGTGTACATAAAAAAAAAGGGAAATATAGGGCAATAAAAGGAATCTTGCACAAAAACAATATTTGATTCTATTTTCATATTATAGTGCAGGATACTGGTGTAATAAAATAACAATCGTGGTCAAGATGGAATGTGTTAAATGCAAAATTAAAAATAATGAACCTACCATAATGTGTGATAGCTGTCAGAGAGCGACGCATAGAGAGTGTGCTGAATTAACTGCAAGTGAAATGAAAGATATGGAGCTTAAAGGCAAAAGATCACTGAAATATTATTGCGATGACTGTCAAAATGGAGTAAAACTGATTCCAAAACTTCTACTTAAAATCGATCATTTGGAAACCGAAGTTAATAAGTTACGAGAGGCAGTTACATCGAAGGACAATAATAGTATAGTGTCTATAAGTGAGAAAGAAGATTTATTGAGTGAAATGATGGAAAGGAAGAATAGAGCTGCAAATATTATTATATTCAATGTCAATGAGTCAAAAATGGGTTCTCCACAAAAACGCTATGCTGAAGACACTCTAGCAGTTGTGAATATACTTCAAAACTTTAACATAGACAAAGACGATTTAAGAAATTTTAGATTAGGCAAGTATGAACCCCATAAGAACAGACCTCTGAAAGTAATGTTGAAGTCAGTTGAAGATGCAAAAATTGTTTTGAAGAACAAAAATCTTGTGAATGTTCCTAGTGTTAGAATATACGGTGATCAAACTAAAATGCAAAGAGATTACTTTAACTGGGTAAAAGGTGAACTACAAAAATTTATTCAAAATGGAGATGATAGCAAAACTATAAAATTTGTGAATAATAAACCAACTATTGTTAACAAACAAGATTATCGAATAGTCAAAAAAAACTAGTTGCAAGCCCTGATATACCACTGAACGTTGATATTATATATCTTAATGCTCAGAGTGTGCTAAGCAATATAGACCAAATACGTCACAGTATTGCTTACTATAATCCAAAAATAATACTATTGAGTGAAGCAAGAACAACAGTTGATGTTGAAGACAATGAACTTAAAATTGATAATTACAGGTGTATTAGGTGTGACTCACATAGTAGACATACTGGAGGTGTGTTAATATATATAAAAAACAATTATGAGCTGTCTTGTGTGAAGTCGTTTGTAATGCAAGAAAACTATTGTCTTCTAAATATGATATATATATGATATGATGTCTTCTAATTGGTTGGTGGGTTGTCTTTATCATTCTCCATCGAGCTCGGATGCAAGATTTATTGAAGACTTTGAAGAAATATGTGATAACTTATTTTCTAATAATAGATGTGTATTGGTAGGTGATGTCAACATTGATTTGCTGTGATCTAGTTTCTATTCTGATAAAATAAGACAATTAATTGCACTGTATAGTATAAGTCAACTTGTAACAAAACCTACCCGAGTTACAGCTACTAGTGAAACACTAGTCGACTATGTATTAACGTACAATACCGGATAACGTTTAACGATTTCTATCAGTTTCTCTGTTAACGCCATATTTGTACTCGCGAAACTAGAGCGGTAGCGGAAAAAATCGCGCATGCAGCGTTCCTGACAAAAAACGCTGTACTGCCGCGACTATAGCGGTAGTCGCGCTTGTTGGTGTGAACACCTGCATTTGCCGCTGTGTTTATGATTTCTCCGCGGTACCGCATGGGTCGCAGCAGCGGAAGTTTCGCGCCGGTGTGGGGGATCCTTTAAGGATCCCCCACATCGGCGAATTAGGTGAATATGCTGTAGTAAATTTCATTCAATTCCGTCAGCGCATTATGAAGATATAGCAGAATTTTTTTTTTGTAAACGATAACACTGTATATCGAATCCTGAATCCCACAGGAAAAAAGTTTATAGAGCAAACTACTTATTTTTTTATAATGAATCTAGTCCTGCAATTTCTGTATTAAGTGAAATCACCCTGTACATATTTGTTATTCTCCTGATTTTTTAAGAATTTAGAATATACAGGGTGTAACAATAATTAGTCAAAAATGGAGAGTTTTTGTCATCCAAATTTAAAAACATTCTTATGTGCTCTTGAAACCCCTATTTTTTATATACTTAAGTACAGATTTTTAATTTTCAAAAATACTGTTACTGCTTCAAATCTTCTGAGCAATTTCAAATATCGAAGTGAAATTTTCTTTTGTGCACGGATTTATATGAAGTTAACATCGACCTTTTTTTCTTCAATGCAATAGATTGTATTCATTTCGAATGGGCATACCTAGATTTGTAATCGTTAGTGACCGTTTGTACTACTTCTATATTTATTTGTTTGTACCTCAAACTTTAGGGGATGAGGGATGAATAAATATATAAATTTTGCGAAATTTACCTGGCATAAAAAATACTAACTGGTATGGATTCGTAATCGTTAATATGTATTTGTAACACTTTTGTTTTCGTTTGATCATCAAATTCTTGTAGATGAGAGATGAATAAATATATAAAATTCATGAAATTTTTCTGATACGAAAGGTGCAAAGAGATATGAATTCATAATCATTAGTAGTGATTTTAAATTTTTTAGAGTACAAAAGTGGTCCTAACAGGCATCAATGATTAAGAATCCATAGCAATTTGTATTTTTCATTACAGGCAAATTTCGATCATTTTATATATTTATTCACCCCTCATCCCCAAGATTTTGGGGTACCAACGAATATGAAAGTTGTACAAACAAATGCTTACTAACATTTAAGAATAAACACCCGTTTGTTTATTTTATATATTTATTGATCTTTAGGGTCTGAAAGTCAAACGAAAACAAAAGTGATACAAACAGGTACCTACTAACAATTACAATTTTTTTTAAAATCCACTTCACCTTACCCCTTAAAGATAAATTCAGTTATTTAAAGTTTGATGTTATCTTTACATAGGTGTGTGCAGGGTACATGAATAAAATGACATTCAATGTGATAAAAAATTACTTCAACTTGAACCATGTGATTAGACATGAATTAAAAATTTTACTGAAAATGTTGAAACGCATTCATATGCCAAATGCACTTAATTTTTCATTATTTTGATATTTCAGGAAAGGTTTAGAAATAGATAACATATTTTTGGAAATAACACCCTGTAGGTGTAGGTATGAGAGCTGCAGTAGCAAATGTTTCTATCCTCTGTATAAATCACACCCCTTTTATTATAGAGATAGTTTTCACTTTTTTCACGTTTTTTTCTTTTTCAGTGTTTAAAGAAGGTATCAAAATTTATAGCAGAACAGAACGAAAGAGTATATGAACCCAGAGGTCTAAAACTGACAGACCCAAGCATGCGTGGACTAAGGGTGCTAGAAATAAGTTGTTTGGATCGGCCTCCTAATGCATGACTCACACTGTCTCACTCCACACAGGAGTTCTTTATGTAAAGAGAAACTGGAATGTCAGTTTCTTTCTCAGTACTAAGTGTTGCAGTGTTCATTTATGTAAGACCTATGACAGAAACAGAAGACTAACTATACTGGGAGGTAAAAGAAAACATTTGTTTCCTCTCTGACTGATAAAGTAACCATTTTCTACGAATTTTTATTATTCACAACTCAGTTTAGAAACTTAAGTATTTAGAATTACTAATGTTTTGCATTAAACAGTATTTGAGGATTATACAATAAAATATGCTTAAAATTGAAACGTTAAATGTAGATGTTCGTAACATTTTTGAATTTAATTTGAAAATGTTTTTCATCGTTTTTTGCAAATTTTGATATATCTTCATCAAAGGTAACAAATCGGGTGCCCCAAACCATGGGTAAAAATTTTATTTTCCCATCTATCTTCTATATAGGATAGCTTCCATAATACAAATAAAAATCACAGGAAATATTGAATACACAATCATGTAAGAATTTGTACCTAAAACAAAACAAAAAAAAAGATAGCTTCCATAATACAAATAAAAATCACAGGAAATATTGAATACACAATCATGTAAGAATTTGTACCTAAAACAAAACAAAAAAAAAATAGGCAGTCCCATTTATTAATAATATATTTTATGTAAATATAAACCTACACCACAACATAACCTGTAGAGAAAATTTAGTATATACAAATTGTTAGAAAGTTTTATGAATCACAGGAAATTGAAACCAAAATAAGGAAAATATGTGATGCAAAATTTGAAATATGATTTATCCTCTAATAAGGACTACCTAATTAATAACCCCTTTAGATAGGTCACACTCGTCTCAATATGTTATTATAAGGTGGGCAATCCATGGCCTGACTTGTGGATTAAAATACTTACAAATTTTTTATTTAAATGTATACATATTTCGTATTTAATCTATTGTTAGGAGGCTGTTAAAATTTTACACTAAAAATCAACTGCTTAACAATAATAGTGTATGTAAATTAATTACTGAACATATACAAATTGGTACCAAAAAGAATAATTCATTGTATAGTAACGAATGTCCACCAATTTAGTCATGTTCATATAAAAAAATAAAGAATTAGGTAATGCCATAATAGTTTACAGGTAAGATATACAAACTTAAATAAACATATTGCTCACCACAAATGTTAATTAGATAATTAATTAAATTAATAAGAAATTGAAGAAGAATTGTTTAGCTGTAATTTTTATAAATATTATTTGTAATTATAAATTTCAAGATACTTAAATTGGTAAATCGTTAAATGCAGAATATCAAGAACACTGTTATCTACCCAGTTTGACTTAATTTGTACTCATTTTAAAAATCTAGGTTATCACATTGCTCTGAATGAGCTGTTTTTATTTTTAGTTAGACAATGCATCAATAAATCACGTAAATGGCACCATTTTTTAGGAAATGACAGAACTTTTGTAGCAAACAGAACTCGAATAGAATTTGCGAAATAAAAAATTAAAATATGTGTCCCCAATATTGAGATCTCGAAATAAGGGTTATATCTTTCTTCATAGTAAACTGTCGGAAACATTTTGATTTTCCTTAAAGTTACAGGACTATGAGCTTTCAAAAATGAAATGTTAGTATCGAGTTTTTAGATTCATCAGTGATTATGAAGGAAAAATATAGACGCATATATGTGCAACCTTTTCAAGATCTCACAGTCAGCCGCTCCTATTACAATTTTTTATTTTGCAAATTTTGATGTGAAATTTTTTCAACTCTATATTACCTATGTAGAAATCATCTCCTAAAAAATGGTCTGTCCCCATACTACATTATAAAAATATGACATTAATTTTCGTTAGCTACAACTGCATTATGATTTTATATTTTTGCTTGTTAACAATATACGGTATTTTTGCGATATACTTGATTCTTATTAAAATATAATGGACTTACATTTATAAAAAAATTCCTTGTCTTACATAAAAGAACATCTGAAATGACTGGCGAATGCCTGATTAAGCAAGGTATACTTTTTACTTTTCTTTAATATTGTCGTTTAGGAAGAACTATTTATTTTTTAGAATTAATTTATAAGTCTTCCAAAAGTTTAATTTATTGATATCATATTTTGTATTGTATTAATTTCATGAACAGAGCAGTAACAAATGCTATATAATTATAAAACATAGCTTTAAATAAAAATTATTGTTAGATATTAATACATTTTTTATTTACTTAAGTTCTTTTTCAAATACCTCTGAAGCATATACATTTCCATGCAGCTATCATAGCTGTTTTGAGAAAAATTTGCCTAAAAAGACTTACGAAAAACTAAAAACATTAAGATTTTAATAAAACAAGAAATGTTTATTAAGATATACAGGGTGTCTCATAAGCACATGATCAAAAAGGTACTGTGACATTCTTTGGCTCAAAAGAAAAGGCTCCTCTGCTACTGATTGTCAAAGTTCTTGAAAAAATTTATTTTTTATAATATCTGGACAATGTTACAATTGGATTTTAACGAAACTTATTGTGGACTTGTTCCTAAGTAAGACTCCTTTTTTGATGAAACAACTGTGTCCATCAGCCTTGAGATAATGGTAAATTTTTGAGTGTTTTGGTATAAGAATTTTCTGAACTTTTTATTTGGTCGCTGAAATCAATTCATTTGTATTTTTATTGATGCATCAGTCCTTTTTCGAGATTTTTGTGCTCTTGGTAAAATCTTGTAGTATAGTTTTTACGCAAAAAATATGTTTTCAATCTTAGACAATCATTATCACTACTACTCAAGTACAACAACTACTCACTACTATCGTCGTAAGTAATGATATACAGGGTGTCTCATAATTAGCTGCCAACCCTGAACAGGCCGATTCTATGATCAAAACTAAGTAAAAAAGTTCATATGAACATGGGTCCGGAAATGCTTCCTAAGGGCACAGGGACCCATTGAAGAGGGAGGAATGGAAATCATTTTTTTGCAATATCTCTCAATCGCGTTGTGATAAATGAATGAAATTTGGTATACACAGCTAAATTTTGATGAGCAATTTGATGGACTAATCCATTTATTTCCACAAGGTCCATTGGGGTGGGTACGGGGGGGCCCTTGGTACTTTGCGTGTGTAACTTTTTCATCTTTGACTTTTTAACAAATTGGACAGCAAATTCCGTTTTCCCGAACTGTTTTACGTTAAAAAGGTACTCTTGTTTCAAATCGTTATCTTTAACGGTTTCTGAGAAAATCGCTCTTGAATTAATCCCACTTTGGTCAATTTCATAGTAATTTAAACAAAAAAAAATAATAATAATTTTCCTTTCCTCTCTTTTCCATTTAAAGGATTAATTTTTATTTAATTTAATTTTTTATTATTATTTTTTTATTAAAATTAGATTAAATTTAAACAAAAAAATTTTTTTTGTTTAAATTACTATGAAATTGACCAAAGTGGGATTAATTCAAGAGCGATTTTCTCAGAAACCGTTAAAGATAACGATTTGAAACAAGAGTACCTTTTTAACGTAAAACAGTTCGGGAAAACGGAATTTGCTGTCCAATTTGTTAAAAAGTCAAAGATGAAAAAGTTACACACGCAAAGTACCAAGGGCCCCCCCGTACCCACCCCAATGGACCTTGTGGAAATAAATGGATTAGTCCATCAAATTGCTCATCAAAATTTAGCTGTGTATACCAAATTTCATTCATTTATCACAACGCGATTGAGAGATATTGCAAAAAAATGATTTCCATTCCTCCCTCTTCAATGGGTCCCTGTGCCCTTAGGAAGCATTTCCGGACCCATGTTCATATGAACTTTTTTACTTAGTTTTGATCATAGAATCAGCCTGTTCAGGGTTGGCAGCTAATTATGATTATCTTATAATAAATGAATTGTCAAACTTTTGATGAGACGGACGTAATACGGAATGATCCAGAAATGTTGAGGACTCGGTTCAATTTCAATCGAAGGATCCAGCTATTCATCCAAAAAATGGCGGGTATATCGAACATGTCTTGTAATTCCATCATCATCTATCATATCTATGTATCATCCAATTTCAATAAAGAGAATTATATCTTTCCCGAGTACATGTTTACATTTTTTGCGTGTGAACAAAAAATGAATCAAATGAAATAAAATGATATTATGATACAAATCCGTCGGATCGCGACAGGCTTTAAAATTGTGACCATTTTACTTTCAATATTGATATCCTCGGTAAAAAAATTGGTATAATTATTATTAGAGAAAGCCACTTCTTGTAAAAGGGCAGATTTACTGCGATACGTCTAAAATTGCCAAGTCGCAACGAAACAGAAAATATTTTTTTGCATAAAAACTGCGAATGCTACAAGATTTTACCAAGAGCACGAAAATCTCGAAAAAGGACTGATGTATCAATAAAAAAAAAAAATTATTCCAGCGACCAAATAAAAAGTTCTGGTAGTTCTTGTACCAAGACACTTAAGAATTTACCACTTACCCAAGACGGATGGACGCGGTTGCTTCACCAAAACATGAGTCTTGGTTAGGACCAACTCCACAGCAAGTTTCATTCAAATCCATAGTAACATTCTTCAGATATTACAAAAAAACATATTTTTTTCAAGAACTTTGCAGTCAATAGCAGAGGAGCCAGACATTTTTTAATGGAAGTTAGATCAGATCATCTTCTTTTGAGCTAAATAATGTCGCAGTACCTTTTTAATCATGTGCTTATGGGACACCCTGTATTAATAAAATTTGTGACATGTATCTATTAAAAATGGGATACCTATAATGTGTGTGCCATTTTTTTTGTTATGATCTGATGCACCAATTACTATACCATTACGCAAAAAGAAAAAAAACAGTAGTTGTCGTTTCATGATTGCGTCTTATTTAAATTAGTTTTTTAAAATGCTCACATCGGCGACGGCATAGATTTATGGCAGGTTCCATATTTTTCTAAATATATTGGAAAAACATTTTATTTTTGGCTTTGCATACATTTTAACTTGTAGTGTAGGTAGTAATATAATATTTTTGTCAGTAATTGCCACCTTAAAGTGAAGGCAGGAAATTCTGGATATTTTAGAGATTTTAGCCATATTTGGGTATATTTTATACTGAAACATATTTTTAACTACTAGGACTGTGAATTAACTTCGAGAGATTTAAAATAGATCGCGCAATTTATGCTATATCGCATTGAACACATCTGTAATCATAGATCTAATAATAGTATACTATTAGATCTATCTCTGTAACTATATTCATGTCAAAACTCTGTCATTGTCATTAGGCTTTACTTTTTATTATGACATTTTACTGAAGCGTAACATATTTTTTCTGAACTCCGAAGATGTTGAATTGCAAGCCAACAAAACTCCATTTGCGGGAAGTTTTACTTTTCCTGCCCAATTGAAAGTATTGATGAAAGTCATCGACTGCTGTTGGAAACATAGATCAAGAAAATACATAGATAAATAATTCAGGGTATTTGTTTGCATCTCAAATGATTCATATTTATATTTACTA